CAGACAAACAAGTTTGTTTACATTTACAGGCGATACTGCTGCCTGGTTCTTATTTACAATGTCACCTGAAAGTGAGAACAGGCGTTTGCATGGCACTGTTGTAGCTGGCATCTCAAGATATTTACATGCCGGATCTGCTAAACATTCATATGTCCCTTAATGCTTCGACCACTATTCCAGAGGACATGCATCCATTATGATGATGGGTTCTGCTCAATAACAACCCAAAGCAGAGCAGACCGATGCATGTTCATTTTCATCATCTGAGTCAGATGCCACCAGCAGAAGGTTGATTTTCTTTTTTGGTGGTTCGGGTTCTGTAATTTCCGCATCGGAGTGTTGCTCTTTTAAGGCTTCTGAAAGCATGCTCCACACCTCGTCCCTCTCAGATTTTGGAAAGCACTTCAGATTCTTAAACCTTGGGTCGAGTGCTGTAGCTATTTTTAGAAATCTCACATTGGTACCTTATTTGCGTTTTGTCAAATCTGCTGTGAAAGTGTTCTTAAAACGAACATGTGCTGGGTCATCATCCGAGACTGCTATAACATGAAATATATGTCAGAATGCAGGTAAAACAGAACAGGAGACATACAATTCTCCCCCAAGGAGCTCAGTCACACATTTAATTAACACATTATTTTTTAATGAGCATCATCAGCATGGAAGCATGTCCTCTGGAATAGTGGACGAAGCATGAAGGCACGTACGGATGTTTAGCATATCTGGCACGTAAATACTTTGCAATGCCAGCTACAAAAGTGCCATGAGAACGCATTCTCACTTTCAGGTGACATTGTAAACAAAAAGCGGGCAGCATTATCTCCTGCAAATTGTAACCAAACTTGTTTGTCTGAGCGACTGGCTGAAGTAGGACTGAGTTTTTTGTAGGTTTTACATTGTTTTATTTTTGAATGCAGTTATTTTTTGTACACAATTCTATATTTGTAAGTTCAACTTCCATGATAGAGTTTGCACTACTGTACTTGTATTAGGTGAATTGAAAAATACTATTTCTTGTTTTTTACAGTGCAAATATTTGTAATAAAGTGAGCACGGTACACTTCGTATTCTGTGTTGTAATTGAAAACAATACATTTGAAAAAGTGGAAAACATCCAAAAATATTTAAATAAATGGTATTCTATTATTAACAGCATGATTAATCACAATTAATTTTTTTAATCGCACGATTAATTTTTTTCATTGCTTGACAGCCCTAGAAAATGGGCCTGCTAAGCTGTGTTCTTCTGAGGCAGAAGTACAGAGTTATACAGAAGTGAAGAGCACTTGCTGGAGTTGTTCCATGTGTAAGTTTGTTCTTCTTTCCCATCCATTATTATGGTTTTTTCCCAGTGTGGGGTTTTTAAGAGGAAGAGATTTATATCCTGAAGTCTTTATGTTGTAACTATTTAATCCTTACCACATCCTTGTGAGGTAGGCAAGGGTTAGCCACATGGGGAAAGGGAGAAGTTAAGTCACATGGTGGCTACATCTACACTTGGAGCTGGGGTGTGATTCCGAGCTTGTCATCATACTTGTGCTAGCTCTCATTGAGCTAACACACAACAAATAGTAAGGTAACCACGGCAGTGGTGAGTGGCAGCATGGACTAGCTACTCTGATTACATACCTGTGGGACCAGGGAGGTGGGAGGGGAAGAGGGAGAAAGTTGTACTCGGGGCAGCTAGCGGATGTGCGTAGACCATTTTATGTTTAACAGAGTAATGCGGGTAATTCACTGCAGGTAGAAAATATTCCATTGCTTGAGGTCATATTTGTGTTCACTGATGCAACTTGAGCAGAGGAAACAACCTCAAACAGATACAGGTACTTGAATGAATCCCATCAGGGTCAAATTCTTCAATTTTTTGCTGTGCTCAGGATGAGTTGCGACCCAGATTTATGGAAACTGAAAGTAGAGTAGGTAGCTAAATTCCACTGTGCAGGGCAGAATAGATTCCTAAACACCTCAAGTCCCTGATGTGTGTGTGGGAATAAACATGTACAGTTATTATCTACTGTTATAGGATGTCAGTGTTACTATAAGCCTTACTACTGGCATACCTAAAAGTGAGCGTCTTTTAACTCAAGTGGTTGGATCCTGTGTTTTTTGGAGCCAAAGGATCTGAGTTCTATCCCTGCTTTGCAGACTGCTTACAAATCTAAGGGCCAAATCTTCAAATCATGATAGCGCTATTGACTTCAAAGGAGCTATGCTGATCACACCACCTTATGAGCTGGTTTTAAGCTGTTAAGTGGATGGTAGTTTACTACAAAAATAAGAACAGCTATATTGGGTCAGACTAATGGTCCATCCAGCCCAGTATCCTGTCTTCCGACAATGGCAAATGCCAGGTGCTTCAGAGAGAATGAGCAGAACAGGCAATCATCAAGTGATCCATCCCGTTGCCCATTCCCAGCTTCTGGCAAAAAGAGACTAGGGACACTTCAGAGACAGATGGGCAGTCTTCTTCCAGGGAAAGAAACACATAGAAAACAGAATCAGAGCTATACACAGCAGACAAAGATAGAGAGTATTTGCAAAATTTTGATCTGCGTTCAGATTTTCACCTGGGACAGGATATTCTAGATTTGAGACAGTCTCATAAGGAAGTTGCTTAAAGATATATCTCCTAGAAGGGCATTTGAATGTGCAGAATTTTGAAACTTCTGTATCACATCAGACCTGACCGCATTTTTCATTGCATCACTATGGAAAACACTCTTGCAGTCTGAAGTCTAAATACAACCGCCTCAACTGTTCTCATGGAGCAACTCTATAATATGATGGTCAATGCTCTCATCTGGCAGCTGGGTTTTTAAGAAAACGTGGTATTCTTGACTAAAATTCTGGCTTGGCTCAGGATGTCATTGAATGTGGATGATTCTGTCCTTGGTGGTTTTTCAGTACTACTTACTTCCAGGAAAATTTGGAAGTAGCCACCTCCTGCAGTTCTCTGCTAGGATCACTGCCAGACAGATATTCAGGCAGATTCATTTGCTCCACTTTCCCAGTGATTCAGTTTTCTTCCAACACCACCTAATAAAGCTGTTAAACATAGGAAGTGCTGGTAAAAAACTGGTCTTCATTTCCTTCTGGCCCCAGTCACATGACACAAGTCAAAGCTCCAAACTACCAATAGTCAATGGCCCTGGTGGCTGCTGTTATGCCTACCCATACTCCTTGTGGATCACAGGCAAGGCTCCCATTGTTGCTTCTCCACAGACATAAGGACGCTAGTGGAAAGTAGCCAATCTCTAAGGCAGCTTACAGTGGCCATAGAGGGTGCTGTTGCCCATGGACTGCAGCATTGGAACAATTTTTATAGTGGGGGTGTAGAAAGCCATTGAACAAAACTATAAACCCTGTGTTTGATGGAAACCACTGCGAGCTGGGGGTTCTGCCACATCCCTAGTTCCAGCACCCCTGGGTTGCAGTAATGGCCAGGGAGAAGCTCCAAAGCTGTTAATGAGCCTGGAGGGAAGTGGGGTGGGGACAAAGTCTGTCTGTCTCTTTCACAGTCACATCCTCTTCCCATGTGCAAAGCCTGTTTACTGGATCTTTGAGCAGCTGGAAGGATTTGCATTACAACGAGCACACAACATAGGAGGTGGTTGTAATTTCCAGGAAGCTTTCCCCCCCATATTGTGACACTTTACCCTGTGGTCATGAGGTTGACAATCTGTATCATCTTCTCATAAGATGCAATTTCCCAAGACCAGGAAACCAACCCTTAATTGTGGTAACGTGTATTTTGCAGGCATCGTTGCAGTAGTCACGCCAGTGCTAAATCTAGTCATCTCCGGGTTGTGATGGGCTGGCTGAATCCTTTAAAAGCTCCTAACAGTATTAAACTGTCAGAGGTAGGTGTTTCCAAACAAACTGGCTTAAAAGGGTAATATCGCTACTTTTATCTATGTGCTGCAATACAGTAGCGGATGCGTGGGTATTCCTTCCACTTCTGAAATGAAGGAAATACTTTACCTCCTTACTTCCAGGGTCTGATCCTGTGAGGTGATGAATGCCCCTGAAGGGACTGAATAGGCTTGATTAAAAATTAGGGACACTTTTTTTTGCAAAAAGTTCCCTGCAAAATGTTCCCATTATTCGATCCGTGAATAATTCCCTCCACTCCTGCCAAAGAGAAGAGCCATTGTTATACAGTTATGTCTACCCTGCAGCTGAAAGTGAGCCTCCCAGCCCTGGCAGACAGAGTTTTGCTAACCGGTCTTGCTCTATCTGAAATATCCGTGTGCACCAGCAGACGCTTGGGATAGCATCTAGTTCAAGCCTACCCTACCCCCAACTCTGAGCTTGGGTGGCTATCCTGAGCCTCTGCCAGTGCCACAACGTTCACAGCTATTTTTATTACGCTAGCGCCCGCCCCACCAACACAACTCTGCCTCCCTGG